CCCGTAGCCTCTCCTCATAGGGCCTGCCCTGCTGTCCCCCGATCATGCGAGTGGCCCTCCTCTGGACCCTCTTTTGTAGCACTTTGGCTATTTTTGTAGCACCACAAGAGGGATATACCCCTGAGTGTTCAATTTTCTAGCCCTACAATGGATATACAGTAGGGCTGTGTAAAATTTTCCCAGGTGTTTTGCTTTGAAGCTGTTTCAATACGTTTCGAGCTCAAAACAGCAAAATCAAAATGAAACAAAAGGCTTCAAAACAGCTTTGAAGTGAAATGAAGGCACTCAAAACATTTCAAAACATTTCAAGTTTTGAAGCCAGGCTTGCTTAACTTCATTGCTGGTCCCAGGTGGCAGTGGCAGCCTCCTGTCATCCTGTGTGCAGATCCAGGGGCCCGCACCCCCAGGAGGGCTGTGGGACTGTTCTGGACTCCTCCCGGGGATGCGGGCCCTGGGATCTGCGCTCAGGATGACAGGAGGCTGCTGCTGCCACCTGGGACTGGCACTGGGTGCAGCCCGCACTCAGTGCCAGGATGATTGCTGCTGCCACTGGCCCCAGACAGCAGCAGCAGCCTCCTGTCATCCCGTGTGCAGATCTGGGGGCCCGCACCCCCAGGAAGGCTGTGCCAAACTCCTACCAGGGGTGCGGGTCCCTGGATATGCGTGCAGTATGACAGGAGGCTGCCATTGCCGGCAAGTGACATGAGTTTTTCTTTAAACTGTTTGAGGTGTAGTTTCCCAGAAACCTCTGCACGTATGCCTTTGAAATGTGGCAGGCTTCATGCCCTCAGAAGGGGCTACCATCCCTGCAATTTTCATCCAAATCAGGCAATAAATGACAAAGTTTTAGACATTTTCATGATTCCCCATTATAGCCTATGGGCAAAATGTCAAAATGCATCAAAACAACCAAACAGGTCCGATGAAACAGAACAGAACAGAACAGTGCTTCAAAACAAAACAAAACAAAACGACAAAATGAAACACTGTCCCTTCGAAATGGCAAAATGGAAGTCAAAACGAAAAAGTACTGTTTCGCACAGCCCTAATAATACAATACCACAAATGTAACATCTGAAGACAGCCCAAGATAAGTTTTAGCACAACACCTACAGGAATGCACTGACAGAAACCAAAGAGAAAATAAAGCTAGAGGGTTAGCTGCACCTACTGATACATGAACAAAATCAGATTAAGCAGTTTGATACACCACATTATAATTCTTCTTTCAGAGCAATGAGGAAATATTAAATCGATGAATCACGAATACCTAAATACTATGACACATAGGTGTCATGGTGGATAGGCAGTACACTTTGGGGCTTGGCAACTCAGCAACATAAGGCTGAAGCTACACATTACACTTAGGCCATTCTAAGGGCACTCCATTTCATGGAGATCAATTTGCTGCCAGTATTTCTGACCCCTCTGAGCAGGGATAGAGTCATAATGTTGGGGCTCCTAACCACACCCCTGCTCACTACCTCTCTAGTAGAAAGTCAGAGTGGTGCAGGCAAGAAACGGTATTAATTCTTAACATGCGATGGCTCAAAGCATGTTCTAATTTTAACACCACTTAACATTTCACCGATTTAGTATGGTCTACACATAACATGAAACTTCACCATAAGCAAATGTTAATTAAGTCAGTGGAGTTCTATATGCCTATATGAGGAGTAAATGTGATCCTTTATATTCAGGCTTAGCATTTGCTCTCATAAAAAGCATTTTAAAAGATATATATGTGTTTACAAACAAGAATAATGTTCTTGAACAATACTATATAATAGCTTAATTAGAACTTGGGTAACTCAGTAATTACACCTTACTGCATGAGATTTTCTATACATTAGTTTACTATTTTTTTAAAAGCTATGCTTCCTGACAACTTATGATGAACATTTACAGTGTTTATATTAAATTCTTACTTTTTTTTAATTACCTTAAGAAGCGTTCATATAAATGACCTGAGGCAACTGAAAAAATATTTAGAGAATAATTTTTCTTCTCCTTTTCTTCTGTTTGAATTCCTCCTGAAAAACTTTAAAAATAATGATCTATTAGAGCCTGTGTAACTATGGAAAAGGACCAAAAATATATTCCATAAAAAAACTAAGTTAATTGCAAGGTTATAACACAGAAGAATCAAAAGAAATCTGATTATATACAAAGAAAAATGTCATTTCCTTTGGCATTCATAACAGTAGTTCTTTAAGAAGTATGGTTCACGTACATTCCACTTTCACTTCCATAAAACCCATAATGTAACACTAAATCAAGATTGTCAAAGATATGACCTGTAGGCCAGATCTGACCGACAAAGCCCTAATATCTAGCCCAGAAGTTTCAGATATGTACAGGGCTGGACCTGGCACAGAGGATCAGTCAGGGGTACATGCTACATGTGGTGCCTACATCAAACCAGTCCTGCACACTAGATCTGGGGCCCACAGACTGGTCCCACGCACTGGTGCCAGTGCACAGGGCTGGTCCAATGTGGGCATCTCATGCAGCACATGCCCTGTGCCGGCTCTGTGTACGAGCCCTGGGCTGAGGCTAGAGCATACTACACACGCATAAAGCTGATCCAGAGCACATACTGCATGAAGTACCTACGCTGGACAAGCTCTGTATGCTGGCTCCAGTGCAACAGGCTGGTCTATGGGCTCAATTCAGCCCACAGAACAGCCCCATGTCCTTCATTTGGCCTGCTGGGAAGGATGAGTTTGATACCACTGTACTAGGTTCTTTTTTTGAATACCAGGTTCTGTTGGGCCTGTACCTGGCCCTTCATGTCCTCCAAGAGCTCAGTAAATGAGAGCATAAAAAGGGAGTAATGGATGCAACCACTCTCCACTTCCTTTAATAAAACAGGATTCAGATCTGACAAGAACTCCACAGTATAAGGGAAACAGTTGTAAAACACATGCAGGCATCGCATGATTAATACCCAGTCTTTTTTTGAGCGACTGGTGATTCACAAACAGTGAGATATCCTTAAGGTAGGTGCCCAGAATCTATTAAAACAATGGCTACAAGAGATTAAGACATCACAGTGAAGCAGCAGACTGCCCAGGTTGGTCCAAGTATGCTACAGAATAATTCTGAAAGGGTCCAAGACCTATTTTATATTGTTTTTGGCTGAAGATCTGTTGACTCTTTATTTTGCCAGCAACATTAGTACCAAGAGACAATCTAGAAGAATCCCTGAAAGTTTTCTTTAATTAAGACAGAAAAAAAGAATCTTAACAATATTTAAGTATTAAAGTGTCAAGTTTGGCTTCTCTAAAACAAGCGTTAGGGAAGAAAAGAGGTGGATCACCTGACTGAGATGAAAGTTAGAAACTGTTTTAGACATAACATTAGGAGAGGCCTTAAAGTTACTTTGTCTTTGTGGGTAATTATATAAAGCGGTGATCAGCAACCTTGAAAGGCTGCAGGCCAGACTGACCCAGTTTGGGTCAGAGGTAGGAACCAGCTGCTTTTCCCCACAGTGGTACAGGGAGAAGACCGTGACACTTGAAAGTGACTACTGCTGAAGCCTAATGTTTGTGATCCCGATCAAATAGTTCCACAGCTAGAACCAGCCTGCAGGTTGTAGTTTGCCAACCCCTGGTATAAAGTAGTCATTCATCTCTTCTAGTTAACATTATAAATAAAAGAAAATATTTTTCTTCTGTTTAAGTGCCTCTTGAAACACTTTAAAAATAAATGTCTAGCATGGGGTTCCTGGACAAATGGTACAAAAAGCAGGCTTTCAAAAGTTTTAAAGAACCCTATTAAAATATTGCAGGATTGCAAAGTTTCTCCAACCAGTGAGAAAATTTGAAGACTTCTTTGAGAAGCACAGTAACTGTTGGATAAGGGAAGGTAATGTGGCCTTTGGCTGAGGGGGATAAAACATAACTACCAGATCTCCTCTTACAAAGCTGATGAAATAGTCAAATACTTCATGGAAATCAGGTAATACAACATACTAGCTAGCAGCATTTTCAAAGGAGTTAGGTGATTTTCTATCACCCAAATAGAAAACCTCTTCAATTTAGCTAGAAAACTCGTTTCTACTGCAGACTTGAATGTTTCAAACTACTAAGGAACAGGGTCTTTCTGTGGCTATTAGTCATTCAGAATTAAGGGCAAAAGATGGAGGAATGCTAAATCTAGTTTGGGGACTTGGGTGGGTTTGTATGATTCACAGTAGGGCTGTGCAAAGCTTCAGGTGCTGATTTGATTCAGAGGAGATTTGGCCTGATTCGGTGGCCGAATCTTCAAATCTGAATCGAATCGGGAGACCAATAAAATGGTCTGAATTGATTCAAAGCTCTCTGAATCGATTCAGAAAAGATTCAGAGAGCTTCGGAGATTCAGGCAGTTCCCACTCACTGCCACAGGGAGCTGCATCTGGGCTCTGTGCCAGTAAATAGGGGATGGGGGGCTGAGGGAGAGGGAACCACGGGGGGACACCCACCAGGCCCCATCCCCTGTCTGCTTCCCCAGCCCCCCTGGGTGCCCCCTGACCCCCATTCACTCTCTGAGGCCTGTCAATGGCTGCTCTGTCTGGCCCCAGCATCTCGGCTCTTAAAAAAAAAAAAGCCCTGCACTCACCAACTGTTTCCAGGCAGGGGGGCAATCCCCAGTGCCCACCACTGCCTCGCACTGTGTGGTGGCTTTGCCATGAGCCTCCAATCTCTGCCTGTTCTCCCAGCCCCATCAATGTCTGCCCTGCCCAGCCCTAGGTCCCAGCTCTTTAAACAACAACAAAAAAAGCCCCACACTCACTGGCTGGTGAAGCATCCATCGGGGCTTCTGGGGGCTCATGGCAGAGCTGTCCACGCAATGCAGGCCAGTGGGGGGCAGCAAGGATCACCCCCCACCTGGCAGCAGCTGGCTTTTTTTTTTTTTTTTAAAAGAGCTGGGATGCTGGCACCCTGGGCAGCTATTGACAGGGCTGGGAGAACGGGTGGGGGATGGGGCCTGTTTGATTTGGAGATTTGGCGGTGGCCGAATCTCTGAATCAGATTTGGCCAAATCGATTCAGGACAGTGATTTGAAATCACCAGGTCAAATCAATGTCCCCCAAATCGGCTGAATCCAAATCAAAAGTGAATACTAGCTGCTTTGCACAGGCCTAATTCATAGCTACTTGTCAGAGCAATGATTTACAGATGTACTGACAGATTCACTAGGTGCAATACCAACATTGTCTGGTCCATGCTCCTGCTGTTTGTATTGTTAGGGATGAGTCCTACCTATCTTCTTGAAGACTTTCAGTATCAAGATGATTGTAATACATACCCACGAGTCTTACAGACTAGACTAAGAACAGGAATACAAATTCATTTGACAAGGAACTTGTGTTAGCTTCCCCTTTGCAACAGAATTTGTGACATTTCTTGTTCTAGGATACAAACAAATCTAATACTGGGTGTTTCCATTTGTAAGACATCTTCTAGGATAAGGTCCTTAAGTGACCATTCACAACTGTCCAAGTACTGCCAATTGAGATGATCCATTAAGGGGCTTTGAAGAGATGAGAGATATAAAACCATAAAAGAGACGTGATACATGATGAACCAAATGTGTCCTGCCTCTTGGCAGAGGTCTGTGAACATTTACCTCCCTGAATGTTGATATAATGCACTAATGGAGTGTCTAATGTTACTTGTACTGTAACACCCAAGAATACCAGACAGCTAGTGCAAGCTAGTCAAACAGCACTCATCTTCAAGTTATTTATGGCAGGTTTCTTGGAGAGATCCGAAACACTGAGTCCAAAGATATGCTCGCTAGTCTAGTACAGATATACCTGTCACCAGTGTCCTGTGGGAAGTGGGGAGAGTGGCACATTGCTGCACAGGTGTTGATGGTCCTTTCTGAGGAATCATGCACACCATATTTATGTTTTATGTGCCAGACAAATACACTGATTTAAAACACCCTTGCATGGAGCATAGGTCAAGTCCAGCAAATTGCAGTATACAGGTCCAGGAGTTCATCTGTCCCATGAATTTGACATACGTCATAACAGAAGGTTCTGGGTATGTCTGGAGCTGATAAACAAGGCTTAATGAGGAAACTTGTGCAGCAACTAAGATTTCACCCCTGTGAAGTCTAGAATAGCCCCTATGAATTTTGTGTTTTGAAAAGAATCAAGAATGGATTTTGCTCTGTCTATGAACCCTAGTCACCAAGGAGTTCCAAAGATTACTTGTATCAGGTTGTTCACCCATTCAGGCCACTTACTCCAAATTAGCCAGTTGTCACGGTTGGGATTATATAGAATTCCTTGCTTTCTTAAATATGTGGCAAGGTGAAGAGATGAAACACAAAACAGAGCATGTTTACACGTACTCCGGGAGAGTGGTATGACGACTAGAAAATGGTATTTAGATATTTGCTTTTGGGAACTGGCTTGTAGTTAAAGTAGACATGCATTAGATTAGAACAATGGTCCAGGGCAACAGCAAAGGTTAATTGATTTCTATACCCTGACTGTGACAATTTCTTCAAGGCCCACTGTGTCTGACACAGGCAAGCAGCAAGGAGACACATGTCTGTAGTTTCCTAGCCTGTGTACCACACTGTTCCATAACATGAGATAAGGTGGCACCAGGTCACAGTGCCCAGCTGCAGAGCCCTTGGAATTTCTGGTTTTGGGGAACAGACCAAATTAGGAAAAGACCAGAAAAAGCCCAAATTAGGATGTGTGCATGTGATGGGTTTGTGAAACAAAGGATTATGCTGACAGGACAGAATGTGGACAGTGTGATGGCCATAGAAAGACCAATCAGCAATGCCTGAGATGAAGAGTTATCAGAAGAGGAAAAGAATACAAAAAGAAGGATTTCAGAGCAGCATAGGGTCCCCAGGATGGGAACCCAAGGCTACCATGGACCGAGGGCATACCACCAGTGTGTCTCATCCACGCCAGAGGAGGGCAGGGGAGTGTTCGGCCTCTGACCTCCAGGCTGCTGGCATATGACATTCAAGAGAGAACCTCAGAGTGAAGCTCACATACTGGCCAGACATACCCTTTACCTCTGATGACAGCTCTAGGACTAGTAGATATAGAATTGTTTGCATTATTCTCATCTGCTAGCATTGTGTAACAATAACATTTGCCTATTATTGAATGGAAAGGTTGTGGTCAGTCTGAGGATTTGGGTCCACCTGGAAAAAGGCATCTGGGTCTTAAATCCAGTGCCAACAAGGTGTGTGTGTGGGGGGGGTAGGGGTGGGGGGGGGGACTTTAATTTAGTGTGCTTCCGAAAGCCGCTCTAATTAAAGGTCCTGGAGCATCTCATGTATCAGCATGCCTGCACTTCAAAATGGTGGTGGAAGCGCTTTAGCAAAACGCTCATCAAACAAGCTCTAGATACCCCACTACCCCCACTACAATTTTGAAGCGTAAGGATGCTGATACGTAAGACACTGAGGCTGGCTGGTGTATGGTAATCACTGCGCTCCAGCAAACTTTATTGAGTCTGCTCCAATGCAATGTAATTATAGCACATCAGAGCAGCCTCTGGGCTAATGCACAGGCACCCACACAGTATTGATAATTAGACTTCCCCACAAAAACCTGTGGATGTGGACACATGTACATTTAAAGCCCTTTCAAACAGGAAAGTTTCAAAAGGGCAGCACCTGTTATACTGAAATTGTGTGTAAAGGAGTGGAATAATATAAATGTATCAAAATGACTCCCAACTTTAACACTGCTTCTTCCACAGTTAAAAGTTGGAGCAGTTTTCCTTTGAAAATTATTTTCCTTTGAAAACTATGTCACAGACAGTCTTGCTATCTGTAGTAGTATAAGAATGGTTGTGAGTGACTGGTGCCTCCTGTATCTGGGAGGGCACATCTGCAGAAGCCACCGACAGCAGCAGCCCTGTCAGGGGAGGTGCCAGGGGGGCACTGGTCCCATCAGGGGGGCATGTGCACCCCCCACCAGTCGTCTATGAGAATGGCTGTCCCTTATCTGATGAATCTGAAGATAAGTGTTGTGTTCTCTGAAAGTTTATGCCCTAGATCTCAAAGTGGTACCTGAGTTCTTCAGCATAGACCACCATATGCAAGATATCATGGTTAGTTTGTGAAGGAATTGAAATTATTCTCTGTGCTCCAGCTATTTTTTCCTCAGTGAATTTGCACACCCAGTTCCCAATTCAGCAAATTATATTTAACCATAAACACTTGGTAGTTTCAGATGCACATCTGGAAACTGATTGAGAAATACTATTTATGACCAAAGAAGTCCATTGTCATAACATCCTGTAGTATCAATTTTTGCATATTAGTTATTATGCTTAAATGATAAGAGTATTGAATTGATAAAGCTCTATGGTTTTATGAACAAAACTCTATTTTGTGCTTGTTCCCTGCTTGACATAAGTAAATGAACTTCGTATGCCCTGTGTATGTGAGTATTTGTGTGAGAGGGTGAATGGTGAAAGTATGGTAACTATTTGCATGAAACAGAAGGAGATTTAATTGATTGTGTAAGAAACAAGACACCAATATATAAGTTACCAGACAGTAAACTAATTAAGTTAATTAATGGACGGCTGAAGTACTCGTCTGTGATCAGGTGCAAAGAAGATAGTGAGAAGAAGGAATTTTGCTTATCCTGCTATTTGAACTACACAATGCTTCAAGGCAAAGATACCGACTACACAATACTTGAAGGACACAATGCTTCAAGGCAGAGATACCAACGGAGATACCAACTTTACTGGAATGACCTCGAGATGAGACAACCAGAAGAAACAACCTCTAATTAAAAACTTAGCATGGAAAAATCCCAATGCAGAACAAAGACTTGAAATCCCCATAAAAGTGAGATGCCGACAAGCCAAGATGGGGAATCCACTCTTTGCAATCTCTTGGAGCACAGGCATGTCTATCCCTGCTCATATCACCCTCAGTAAGCCTGGACTGGCCATTCAGTGCTGACATGGAGTAACTTCTACTGGTAACTATAACATCTTACTGGAGTGGTTTTGTGTGTGTCTGTCTATGTCTGTTTGTATGACTGGTGTCTCCAAGCTTATGTATCTGCTTCATGTAATCAATAAATGAGGCATTTAGAGACAACCCTGTATCTTTCACAATATTTATCACTTCAGGGGGCACAGCAAACTACAAATAATACAATAATAAATTATTTAGAAGGATCAAATTGTAAACAAATCAGGTACCTTGTAATTGATTCCCAAATTCCTTTTTCTTCTGTAACCCCATCATTAAGGAGATCTTCATTGATTTTACTGGTTTTTTTCTGCACCTAGTCATTAGAATAAATTGGACTGAAATAATCTGGGAAGTCAGTTAGCAAATACAGTAACTGAAATATTTAATTAAATAGACCCATAGTTGAAACAACCTACATTTCCAAATTAAGAAAGCTAATTCTTTAACTGTATTAAATTCATTTGAAACAACACTAATTCATACTATTCAATGAAATATTTTTATACAATTTACCTGTAATGAGTTCTAGCTATTTGGATCTTGAAAGAGATATATGATATTGATTTATAATACCCAAGACTGCAATCTAATTTAAATAAGGCACCAAATAGCACTACATCTGATACAACTCTACTCATTCCAGTTACTGGAATGCAGGAAGATACTAGTTTTCCTGTAATATAATTTAATACTGACTTAAATCACACACTAGGGATCAATATATTGATGTTTCCTCTATCTGTATATTACAACTAGAATCAGCTGCCTCCACAGCCTCTAACCCTACTCCCTCCCTCCCCCCAGCACCTAAAAGCTTACATCTATGAAATTAGAGAAGAGATTTAGAGGAAGAGGTATTCTTATCCCCTCTCTGTTGTACCCAATGTACATCTTTGGCACAACCTCTTAAGGTCCAAAATTGGGAAACACTGTGACTTTAAAAGAAAGTCACTGTGTGACTGAAAGAAAAGCATGTAACAATCTTAAAAATTCTTCATAGTACAACCTTAGTGTCAACATTCTTTATTTCTAATGCCATTTTTAATACCATGTTTAGTCAAATCCAAGACCGTTTTTTCCCCCCCATTCAATATGGGGGAAAAAGCCCCATATCTTGAATTCAAGTACAAGACAGGGACAGATGGTGGCCAATGGCTGCTGCAGCTCTGACTGTGGGCCTGGAGCAGCTATCTGCCGCTTGCCCCCTGCTCTGCCTCCTCCCCACAGGTGCTGCCCCTTTATCCCCCTGATGCTTATGGTCAGACATGGCTCTGACTCCATTCCCTCCCAAGGCATAGAGCACATGGAATCTCTGGCCCCTGCCCAGCTATGTAACAGTGGTAATTCCATCCCTGGGATGGTGCTGCATGGCTGGGCAGAGGCCTGAGCTTCCATATGCACCGTGCCCCATGAAGGAATAGAGCCAGAGTCGGGCCTGATGGTAAGAGGTGTGGGGGAGAGGGAAGAGGCTCTATGGGGCAAGTAGAGAGGCAGAGGCTGCAGGAAAGGGCTGAGGTTATAGGGGAACAGAGGCTGCAGAGGTGGCAGAGGCTGTGGGAGCAGTAAGGCTGGGGGCAGAGGCTGAGTACACAGAGGGCAGGAGAGGAGAAGGCAGCAGGGCAAAGGCACTTTGGTGGGGGCAGGCATGGGGGGGCAGGCAACTGGGGGAGGCAGCAAATGGTGTACGTACCAAGGGGGCTGTAGGGGGGGACGGGACAAGGGGAGCTGCCTGCCCCTCTCACTGCATGTTCCCCTGCCACTACTTTTCCCATTGTAGTAGTTGGGGCGGGGTTGGAATTTTAGACAAACCTCCAATAATGAGATTCTATCACAGAAAATTATAACAAATCTACAATCTTCCATATACAGATAGGATTTTATTGGGAGGGGGGTCAGCTTAAGTTCAAAGTCCTCTTGGATTCTGGTAAATTCTATATGTATAAAAGTCTTTGTCTGTCTGTCTGTCTGTCCATAATGCTTTATTTGCACTCTCTGAAACAACCAATCACTGGCAATGCAGTGGACAGCAGCAAAGTAGTGGACAGTGGCCAGAGCAGGGGGCGAAGCCAGTGGTGCTGGCCTTGCCCCCACTCCCGGCCCTGTTCCTTGAAGGCAGTGGAGGTGCAAGGTGCTGGCAGTGTACCGCTGACCTGGGCCCCCACTCCGGGCTTGTCACCCCTGCCACTCCCAAGTCCCAGCTAAAGCCAGCAGGCGGAAGGCGGCAGGGAGGAGGAGAGCGAAGGAAGCAGGAAGTGGAGGGGCACAGTGGCAGTGCACTGCCACCAGGCCCTGAGAACAGCTGGGAGGACAGGGAGCCAAGGGGGAGAGGGTTGCATACAGTTGGATGCGCAGCGGTGGCAGTGCTGGGTGGTGGCTGCAGCTGCTGCATGCAAACTCCCCTCCCCCCTGTTCCTGGGAGCCAGCTCAGGGTGGAGCAGTGAGGGGCAGGGGGTACACAAGGCCGCACTGGGGATGAGGGGGCTGTCAGGGCCATATGCAGGGGTAGGAGGGGCACCTGGGGCTGAAGGCAGAGTGGCAGCACCACGGGGCACTGGGTGGCAGCGCTCCGTTCCTCTGCCTGTCGTCCCCCCCTCCTTCATTCATGATGGACAATTTGTTAGTATGGTAATAAAAGGAAAAGCTCTCCCAAGTTCAATGGAATGCAGGTAAGTCAGGAACTAAATATAAACTCATTCAAACAAGGACCAGTTCAAAAGTAAGCTTATAGGAAATTCACAGCAAACTGAAAACTGATAGTATCAGATGGAAAAATACTCTGCTAGTACATCTGCAATAAAGTCATGATACTAAAGAGTGATATGCTGAATGGTGTGAGGGTTGTTGGGTTTAAGCTCTCTTATCCTTATACAAACTTTGCCCTCACAGTAATGGAAGAATCTGTATAACATTCAAATCTTTCCAACATTCTACACAGGACTTTTCTGTGTAAGGGACAATTTGGGATTTAGAGTTTAAATGAAAAATAAAATACTTCTATTTTGAAGATAACTTTCATGAGAGTACTATAACATTACATAATTTATTCCAGTGCAACTCCACAGAATATATGAACAAATTAACTGATGATGTGAATCCACAGTGGGCATTTAGCAAGTAATACAAAACACAAGTATTATATTTTGATTTTCAGGTTGCTGCTATGTATAACCAAAGTTTTTTTTATATACTTAGAGAAAGAATGCACACACAGAATTATTTGGTTACATACTTGTATTTTGATAATTTTGCTCCTGAAGTTATTTAGAACAACAACAACATCTTTCAGACCAGCTGGGGAATCTGTTCCTTCATGGCTATAAGAAAAATAAAAGATGCTTAAATTTATAAACTGATTAAAATATGAGATATGAGTTTTAATTACAGTATGAAGTTTTACAGTGGTCTAAATTTACTGAAATTAAAAACATCCATGTACTACATGTACTAAAATAGTTTTTTGATTTAGAAACTTCTGAATTTTTTCTTATCATCAGAAGCTATTCACTGTTATATTCTTTGTTTTTCTTATTTAAAGAATTCTTATCAAGACAAAAAACAAATAGAGAATGAAATAGTTCATCATAGTCCCCAATATATAATTTTGCAATTTTTAAAAGATGCATCCACGGAAAATATGTCTGAGCACATTCAAAATCTCTTTAAATTATTTTTTTCTAATAAGTAAACAATGCCATCGAATTATAAAAAACAACAATCTTCCTTGTGGCCACTCAGAAAATGGCTGAGCAATTAAATAGGTTTTTACATGGTACCTTAAGGCTAAGGACAGAAGTTAGACAAAAACCAGTTTAAGTGATCAGAAACTGGTTTAAACCTGTAACAGAACAGAAGTTCAGTACACATAAACCAGTTTCAAAATGGCTGAAACTGGTTTAAGATAAACCTGATTGAATGTACTATCAGACTTAACTGATTTGGGTTAAACTGTTTTATGAAACTTCTGTCCCAGACCCTTCCTGCTTCAAGTTAAATCATAGTCCCCCAGCATCCCAGCATGCTGTGGCCTGGAGCTGAGCTGTGCTGTGCTGTCTGGTCCAAAGAGCAGGGCTGGCCCCACCCCTCTGTTCCCTAGCTGGAGCAGTGAGGGCTGGCTGACAAGGTCGGCGGCGAGGGGACAAGCCCAGCTGGGGGTACAGTCCAGTCTATGGGAGGAATGATCCACGCACCCAGGCAAACCCTGGCTGGGGTCTGGGGCCAGGGAGGGGCGTTAAACACCCCTTCCCCCACTCAAACTTACTGCTGGCTGTGGCTGTTGACTACAAATCCCAGAGGCATCTGGAAGCAGAAAGAGGAAGTCCTGCAGAGTCCTGCTGCTATAATTCTAGAATGCAAATCCCAGAGTCCTCAGGGGCAGCAGAAAGAGGAAGTGAATACACTGCCAGAGAGCTAGGCTCTACTGCCCCCAGCTTTTGCCTGAGCCACTGCAGGCACGTGACTGCATTTCTTGAATCAAAGGTAAATGTCTGTTCACTTCTGTTACAATTTAATCTGTGCAGCTTAGACTAACCTGCAAAGACTGAATCAATTCAGCCTCAGGCTTTTTGACTGTCTGTACCTAGCCTAAGTGTCATACCAAAAGGAAAAATAAATTCCATGGTTTAATGATTCTTCGCTGTAAACAACCTAAGACCAGTCTTCTGATGTTTACATGCATGACTCATAAACTCAGTTGGTTCAAGTTGATCTTAGTTGTTACAACATGGAGCTAGGACCCTAATATTTTTACACAATAGTGCCAACACCTGAACCATTGCTGTGGACTCCATATTCCACACCAACTGATTCACTCCCCAAATACTGGCATACACATGGTGAAGAAAAGGTTACAAAATTGAACTCTGAATGAAACTGATGTCTGACTGGAACATATACTATATTTTCTCACATGAAACATGCCCCAGAATAAACTACCTTCTTTTGAAAGGCAGAATGAAGAAAAAAATTATTTCCTTGTATTAAGTAACTAAATTGCAGCAGCTAAGGAGCCAGCCTGCTCATTGTTTTGTTCCCTGACAACTGTGCACGGATTTTACTTTCACTTCTACCTGGTAAGTGGCAAAAACTGCTTTTACTCTTATTTCTCTCACAATGTTTACTACAGTTTCTAGCACCTGAGTTTTGGAAAGAAGTGTATATTGGATGCATGAAACTAGAGTAGTATTTCTCAATCTTTGTAGACTCAAGGCACCCATCATCAGACTCAAGGCATCCTCCATAACTTTTACGAATTGAGTGGCACACCATTTCAAGCACTAATTTATTATGGGGCTTACTTCCATGCTCAGGGACACGCCAATAGGGATAAGGAAGCAGTTAGGTAGGGAGAGCCTGAGCTTGTCCTTATCTGCTTATCTCTGAATACCTCCCTTACCTCCTTACTTTCTTCAGCCCCAGCTCCTGGTTAAGATTCACTGAAATACACTAATTAGCTTTCAGCACTATTTGACACATCTCTGGAAAGTAAAATGGAATTTCTGGTTATCCTGTCCTCTGTCAATGATTACAGCCTTATGAATAGACTTTTCCTGACTACAATTGTCAGAATTTTTTTTCAAAAAGGCAACTTTGAATGCCTAGCAACATGTGACATACTGTGTGTATAGTTGTATATCATCAATATCATAGATATATTATAAATATATATCATGCAGATACTGCAGATCAAAAGTGATTATAGGGCTCTGGGTGCAAGGGTGAAGGGGGCAGAGGCTCAAGTGGTGTTCTCGATACTACTGGTCAAGGGGAAGGGCCTGGGCAGGAGCAGATGCATCCTGAGGATCGATGCATTGTTGCACAGGTGGTGTCTCCAGCAAGGCTTTGGCTTTTCCAACCCTGGGTTGTTGTTTCAAGAAGAAGTATCTTTGCAGACAGGCTCACTAACCTATTGAGGTGGGCTGTAAACTAGGTATGCTGGGGGTTGGAGAACAAAGCACTGAGATAAGTGGGAAAGCAGGTGACCTGCAGGAAGCACAAGAATGAGGGGACAACAGTGAGGCCTTCTCAGTCTTCCTAAGAATGAAGAGCAATCAGCTAGTTACCTCAGGTGTCTGTACACAAATGTACAGAGCCTGGGAAACCAGCAGAAAGAAATTGAAGTCCTCACACGGTCACAGAACTATTATGTGGTTGGACTAACAGAGACTTGGTGGGATAGCTCATGTGACTGGAGTACTGTCATTGGATAGGTATAAACTGTTCAGGAAGGAGAGGCAGGAGAGAAGAGGAAGAGTAGTTATGCTTTATGTAAAAGAGTTGTATGATTGTTCAGAGCTCCAGTATGAACCTGGAGATAGACCTATTGAAAGTTTCTGGGTTAGAGTCAGAGGGGAGAACAACAAGAGTGATGTTGTGAAAAGTGTCTGCTATAGACCACCAGACCAAGAAGATGAGGGGGATGAGCTGTTTTTTTCAAACAGCTAGCAGAAGTTTCCCAATCATAGGTCCTGGTTCTCATGGGGGATTTCAGTCATCCTGACATCTACTGGGAGGGCAATATAGCATGGCACAAGAAGTTTTTGGAGAGTGTTGGGTACAACTTCCTGGTGCAAGAGTTCAAGAGGCCAACTAGGGGCCATACTCTTCTTGACCTGCTGCTCACAAACAAGGAAAAATTGGTGGATAATGTAGAAGTGGACAGCAACTTAGGCAGAAGAACCATGAGATGATTGAGTTCAGGATCCCGAGGAAAGTAAGGAAGGAGAGCAGCAGCATAAGGACCCTGGACTTCAGAAAAATAGACTTTGGTTCACTCAGAGAACTGATAGGCAGGATCCCCTGGGAGACCAGTCTGAAGGAGAAAGGAATCCAAGAGAGCTGGTTTTATTCTAAACAAACCTGACTGAGGGTGCAGGAACTATATGCAGGAAGACTAGCGAGTATGGGAGAAGACCAGCTTGGCTTAGCAAGGAACTCTTCAATGCACTAAAACACAAAGAGGAAGCTTAGAAGAAATGGAAACTTGGGAGGAGTATAGGAGTATTGCTCAGGCATGCAGGGATGAAATCAGGAAGGCCACAGCACAATTGGAGTTGCAGCTAGCAAGGGACGCAAAGGGTAACAAGAAGGGTTTCTACTAGTATGTCATCAACAAGAGGAAGATCAGGGAAAGGGTGAGTCTCTTACTGAATGGGGGAGGAAGCCTAGTGACAGAGAATGCAGAAAAAGCTAAAGTACCCAATGGTTTTTTTACCCCAGGCTTCACAAGTAAAGTGGGCAATGGAGCTGGCACTGCACGTGGCTTTTCTTGCCAGGGGCTGGGTTTGGAGTGGACTCCAGAGACTGGGAGGAGGCTGCAGCCACCCCAAATTTCATCACAGCTCCGCTCCCAGTCTCACACCACTGCCCACCATCCAGCGCAGCCCTGGCTAAACACCCCTCCTCCACCCAAGAACTGGGAAAAGCCAAGGCTGCACCAGGCTGTGGCACGGGGTTGGGAGCAGAGCTGCAGCAAAATTTGGGGTAGCTACAGCCTCCTCCCAGCGCTGACAGAGCCCACTCCAACCCCAGCCCCCGGCAAGAAAAGCTCCATACAGCGTCAGCTCTGGCTCCACCTCACAGCTGCAGTCTGTGCCATGCTGCACAGATCCGGGGGGCACACACCGCCTCCACACCATGAGCTGCACCTCTGTCCTGTGCCCTCCCCATTCCCCATTGGACAGCACCTGCCCCTGCCCCCTCCCTCACCATGGGGGACATAGAACTGCCCCCTTTCCCTCCACCCTCCCCTTTCACCTTTCACCACACTGGACTTACCAACCTGGAGGCAGCTGTATCAGGTATCGGATTGGTATCGGTCGATATGCCTCCTTGAATATCGGCTATTTGTCTCAGCCCCCAAAATCTCTATCCGTGCACCCCTATAAATCAGAGGTATCTACCTTTTCCTTATAAAATAATTAATAGATTTTTTTTCCCCTAAATCCTTTTCCGTTAAACAATTTGGCTGCTGATTAGGGTCTTGATCATACAATGCTTACCCAACATAAGTAGTCCCATTGAAATCAAATGCAGGAAAAAACATCAAATGAGTACCAGCAATCAGACTGAAATCTTATCACAAAGTGTATCACTTTGCTCTTATTTATACCAGTGCATCCTAAGGAAGTCTGAGTTCCAGGTGCAGTTGGTTGAAAATAATAATCCTCGTCAGAAAGTGTCTAAAAATATATTTATTCCAAAAAAAGCATTCATTTACACACAAGAAAAAAAATCTTTACCCTAAATTAGACACTAGTGTAATGGAATTAACACTACTGGAATGGTACTTATGCTGTACAGTCTCCTAGTTTTTTTT